TGGACGGTTTACAGACTAATTGGATATCACAAAGTACAATACCACACTAACTATATTTTAAACGCTCCTTGTAAGCATGATCAACTTCTTTAGTTCGACTAAACACTTTTAATTTTGTTTTCAAGTCATTCTCTTTCTGAATACTGACATATTTCTCTTTAATTATGTGGGGAAAAAATGTTGTAGAACAGCCAATTCGTGTAGCCAATTATGTTTAATTTAATTACCTGTCGACTTTGATAATTATTACCCCTGATTAACCACAAAGCCTGCTCTTAAATGTTAATCGAAAGTGCTGGATGAAAGTGCTGAGGAGTTTTTATTTTTTCCATTCATAAAAGAGACTGTTATTAGATTACAGTGACTAAGATACTCACCTTTGTCTTTGACTGTAATCTGTCTGAAGGGCTGCATGGCTCTTGTTCACTCGCGCTGTCCTTGTTTAGCCCTCATAAAGTTTTGTTTTTCTGCATGGTTGGTCTTGTTTACTCTCCCTGAGGACTCTATGCCAGCACAAACAAATAAGCAAGTAAACAGATATCACCGAATAGCCCATCGCCTGGCAGGAGTGAGCAGCGGAGTCTGAAAATAACAAACAGATGAACAAGTAAACAAACAACATACAGTAAATAAATGTGTTGTTTTCCTCGTCCCCAGGCTCTGCTGGTGTTCCTGCTGTGGTGAAGAGAGGAAACAGACTCCATTGTACACAATTTCATACTGTTTACCTTTTAGAAATGATGGAAATACAAACTAAATCCATTGTATGTATGTGTGTGTGTGTGTGTGTGTGTGTGTGTGTGTGTGTGTGTGTGTGTGTGTGTGTGTGTGTGTGTGTGTGTGTGTGTGTGTGTGTATGCATGGGTGGTTCTCAGGGAGTGTAACAGCATTCAGCCGTGATACTTCAGGACTTGATCCGCAGCTTTGATGTCAGCTTTGGGACTGATGAGGTAACAAACATTCAGATCTTTAGCCGAGTGAGAATTCACCCTCCTTGTGGTCATATGATGGCATGTCACAACAATACTAATCAAAATGGCTTACCGAGCCTGTGTGAACGGAAGGGCAGCTTTAATAAACTCTTTTTGAGTCTTCAAAATGGGAAAGTTCATTAGCAAATGGGGTGTTTTAATTAGAAGTAAGACATATTTCAGAAACACTGCCTGTTTTAGTAGTACAGACTAGAGATGTGATGTAATGCAATGAAATGATTTTATTTGTGGGATTTTTTGTTAGTGTAAATTTTGTATAATTTTGTATTTATTTAGCTATATAAATATTTGGAGGTAGCACGGTGCCTCAGTGGTTAGTAATGTCACCTCACAGCTAGATGGTTACTGGTTCGGGCCCCAGCTGGGTCAGTTGGCGTTTCTGTGGAGTTTGCATGTTCATCCCCTGGTTTGTGTGGGTTTCCTCCGGGTGCTCCAGTTTCCCCCACAGTCCAAAGACATGCGCTATAGGTGAATTTAATTAACTCAATTGACCATAGTGTATGTGTGTGGATGAGTGTGTATGGATATTTCCAAGTACTGGGTTGCAGCTGGAATGGTATCTGCTGTGTAAAACATATGCTGGATAAGTTGGTGGTTCAATCCGCTGTGGCCACTCCTGATGAATAGGGACTAAGCCGGAGGAAAAGTAATGAATAATTATATATTTGGTTGCCATGACAAGCCTAAAAACATAGAAATGACAAAAAATACAACTAACTTACAGAGAAAAAAATTATTAATGATTATTTTTAAATTATGTAAATTGCTAACAACTTACATTTCTGCTTTTATTTAAATTGCCAAATTGACTTTTTATTTTCACAAAGCAACCTACTTGATTTATTGGTTGATTCATTGATATTAATTGTGATTGTGTATTTATTTATTTAAGTGATACGATGAAATTACACCACATATGTTGTAGATTAGCACTTTTTTAGTTTTGTTTTATTAAGATATTTATATAGTTTTTAATTTTAGTTTAGATTTTTTGTCTTTTTGTTTTTTATTTCTGTATTTTTTATTACTTTTGTTTTAAGTCAAAATTACTTTTGTTTTAAGTCAGTTTTATCTACTTTGAATAAAAAATCTTTGAAAATCATCAAAAAAAGTACTCAGAGTACAGATCAAAATAAAGAACATAGTACAAAATAAAGTACAGAAAAAATTAAGTACTTTGGGATATATATATATATATATATATATATATATATATATATATAATTTAAAGAAAGCAGTGTTGTGTTCAACCCAGAATTTTCCATTATTGTAAACCAGATCAGGATTATATCAGATGCATCAATGCGACTGATTATCTTATGATGTAGGCCTGCCAAAAGACTATACGAGTGTAAACTCCACTATTAATTTATATTTTTAGTTAAAACTGTCTGTTTAAAAGTTGATCATCAGGTTTGTCCAAACTCTTGCACACAAATCAATCTGCTTTATCTCCAGCTGTGATCTTGTTTGCAGGTGTGTGTGTATGTGTGCTTGTGTGAGGTGAACTGTATGTGGGTTAGTTAGAAAGTCAGTCATCCTATGGGTTCTTCTTGTAATCCTTTCATGAGTGCCTCATTAGCCTGTGATGGCCAAACCACAAGAGTGTTTAATCTTAACCCCGTGACGGGGAACAGACCAAATCTCCCTCTGTCCTTCTTACCACGGCCTCAAAGTATCTATTTTGGACAACAGACTTTGCTTTGCTTGATCATGTTCACAAGGCAAAACAAGTTTTTAAATCTGTGTTTGCTTGAGTGTGTTTGATCAGGTTAATCTGATGGGAAAACTTTGCAAACACGCACACACCTATTATATAAGAATAGTTTAGCATCTTCTTTTGTCTTTCAAAATACTCAAGTTAGTCCAAAAATATTGTTTGGGGTGTGAAAAGTTTCTCGTTTTTACAAATTTGATTTAAAATGCAGTTATAAATTTGGAAGTTGACAAATAACTTTTTTTCCCATAAATCTAAAGCTATAAATATACGGTGCGAAAGTTCAGTCAGGCTCTGTGTTTTTTGGCCAGGACTCTGAGGTCCATATGGCAGGACACAGAAGTGAAGTCAGCATTGTTTTATGAGCCTGCTGCCTTCATTTTAAGCCAGCATGGCTACATCTTGGATTATTGATTTTTCTAATGAATATGTCTTGACTAATGGGGGTCGTATCCTATTGTCCAGTGGCGATGTGAATGATTGCCTTTTTTGATGGTTCAAGTAAAAGAGATGTTTTTTGCTGATAGAAAGTTTTCACTGACCATAAAATAAATCAAGTTTCAACATTTTTGATAAGATGACAGATTACTGATAAAGCACCTTGACTATCCAATAAAAGTTGAAGTCATATTCATAAATTAACAACTTGCCCATATCCTACATGGTCCTAATTGTTGAAATTTTCAATAATAATTTTATAGAGATACCATCGCTTGTGATGTGTATCTACAGTAATTACACTTTTAGTAAATGATATAGTAACAGTTCAGTTACTGTCGATACACATAAATACACAAAGGCTTTTATACATTTCATCAGGTATTATATATAAATAACTCTCCTTGCTATTGTTGTTTTCATGTATAGTCTTCATGTTATCTGTTTGTGTATATCATATACTAGAACATGAATATATCAATTATTTATTAATTAAATAATAATACTACACAGCAATATCTATATCATATCTATATCATCTACATTTTATCTTAATGATCATGATGATAATAGGTAAAAATGATAAGAAGTGCAATGTGAATAAATAATAATAATTATAATAAATACATATATAATAACAACAACAATAATAATAATAATAATAATAATAATTATTATTATTATTATTATTAATATCATTATTATTTATTACCATTGTTCTTCTTATCATTATTACTTTTTAATTAAAGTTCATCATCATCATTATTAAGATCAAATGTAAGACACTGTAATAATAATAATAATAATAATAATAATAATAATAATAATAATAATAATAATAATAATAATAATAATTATTATTATTATTATTATTATTATTATTATTATTATTATTATTATTGTTATTGTTGTTGTTGTTGTTGTTGCTGTTGTTGTCATATATTATATTATATGATATATTAATATATGTAATGGAGTATTGTTATTAATTGTTTTGTTATTGTGATGTTATTACTCGATAATTAATTTAATTAATAGGTATACATACTTTGATGTTGATGATGATGATAAAGTATAGTAATGTTATTTATTTGAGTCTTGCATATTTTTGTTGATGATGATGACGATGATGATGATGATGATGATAATGAAATGCAATAAAAATTTACAAATACAACTTTTGTACTACTACTGCCATACTACTTCTAAATTATTATTTTATTATTATTATTATTATTATTATCATTATTAATACTCATATTAATAATAATACAGTATTGTTATTAGTTGTTTATTATAATGTTATTTATTAATAGTCAAATTATGATATATTCATAATTTAATTATGATAATGGTACAGTATACTAATTAAAACAGTATTTCTTAACTATCAAACTATTAAAACATATATCAGTGTACTATTCAACATTATCTAGATTTTGTCTAGAATATTTTGTCTTGATTATGCTTATTATGATGATGAAATACAATGCAACTTTTTCAAATACAACTGCTATACCAGATTACTAAATTATTATTGCTAATGTTGTTGTTGTTGTTGTTGTTGTTGTTGTTGTTGTTGTTGTAATGTTTAAATATTCGCATTTCACAACAATTATAATAAACACTTATCGACAGCAAAACCAAATGTGTTGCAAGATTGGACTTGTTATTTCCTAAAGAGTAGAGATGTGGAGTAGGTAACGGTTCCCATGGTGAGGCTGTCCTTTGACTAACATCTGTTGCTCGTCCGCGGCCACAATGGCCCAACTAAACCCGCGATGCGCGCGCAGGTGAAGAGATCAGCACCCGGAGCGCGCGAGCTTTTGTATTGTGTTCAATCAGAGCGGCAGCGCAGATGTGCGCAGCGCGCCTGTTCTAGACGCATTACGGTAGAGCAAACTGTCCCCTAACACATCGCCAACACAAGACACAAGCGGAGTAATTCAACACTGATTTCTCTGCGAATGAGCGAGGAACAGACGAGATGCCAAAAACTCCAGCGAGAAGCATTATTGGGACTTTAGGAAAACTCACCGTGTGACTAACAGAGAGGAAGAGAGAAGACCTGAAGCGACGAGGAGGCGTAAAGAGCCGCGTGCTTGTTCTTCATGAACTTTGAGGAGCGCTGTGACCATGCAGCCTTTGAGCTAGTGCACGATTATTGTTTTCACTTATCACCCTACTGAGTGACCAGTCTGAGGGAGAGGAAGCCAGTAAAAAGGAAAAGAAGACTAATAAAGACAGTTGTCGTTTAAAGTAATGGTCTGAAGACATCACTCATAGAACAGGATTTTTTTTTTTCCTTTTTGCGTTGCTCTTCTGAAGGTTTCTGGAATCACTGGGACATTCACGAGAGCTGGAGCGACACATCCACATGGTCCAGCCGTAGAGTGAAAGTAGAGTTCTTCACAATATCCTAACAGGTTCATATACACTTTTTTACTTCTTTTTCTTTACTTCTTTGCTCCTCGCGCGATTCAGCGTTTTTAATATTAGCCTAATGTGTATTCCACATTTGAATGCACGGACGTGTTATCACACACACATTTATTCAGAGCAATAGAAATAAATGTTACAGTCATAGTTTTTTTCTTAGATATTTCGCCAAATGGGATACTAAAGCTCGCATTGGAACAATGTAACTTTTTTACGTGACACTTTTAAACCGGGGACGAAAGCGTGCATTTATTCTTCACGAGAGAATCATAAATCATTATGATTTAGTTACCCGCAAACTTCACTATAACAATAAATAAGAACGCAAAAGCAGTTTGGATAAAGTTAACAAAACATAGCGATTCAAACAAGTTTAATAAACATGCATCTGCGTTTGAAAATAGGCTATCGCCTGCCCTTACTTTTGATCTAAACTATAAGATGACTTTTTTGACAGATCAAATAAAATAGTTTGAGATAAATCGGTGCTATTTTGCATTTGCTTTCTTTTGAAGAATGCCATGCTTCACTTACAGAAATGTAGAAATCAGATGGCCGTACAAAACTCTCATGATAAATAATTCAAGACAATAAACTGCATGTAAATATACAAGTTTAAAAAGTCTAATCACGTTTTTTATTTTAATAATATACCTTCAAGCAATTTTCCCCTAATTCTCCGTGTGGCTGATTGTTTTTAACAGGCCCTCAGGAAACAGAGAGCAGATCTTATGTAAATAACTCATAACAATCCGTAAGTTTTCATTTTTATCAAATAAACCGATTTTTAAAACCGACTTTTTAAAATTATAACGTTTGTTAAAACCAAAAAAATCCAAGGGACATATTGAAATTATTTATAGTTGTTTTAGTGTCATTTGTACCGGTGTGTTATTAAGACAATATAATATAAAGATGCAACGCATAAAATACTTTAAATACATTAACTCGGCATTCATAATTATTTATAATCACTAATTTAAGTGTATTGATTACCGCGAAATACAATGACATTAGTAAAGTTAGTATTGGCGCAAAAGCAGATTTCCCCAAAAAAGGGATGAACGTTATTTACCTCATTACTTACGTCAAAAGAACGTATCATAATTTAATATTTTATTTTCATTAGTCAGTTTTGCTTCACTTTAGTAATTAACAGACAAACTTTAGTGGATTAAAAACATAATGCTTTTATTTTGAGTTTCATTTACAAATGAATGAGCAAGATTAACTTTTGTTTTTAATTATTTACACAGTTTTTCATGATTTTGTAATCGTTTCGTAATTAAATCAGCGATATTTCGGCTTAAAATCTCTAAAATAAAATAATAAAACTAAACTTGCAACAATTTCAACATTTGAGTACGGGCATAAAGTGAATCTGCAGAGGGAACTACAGCTCACGAGTTGAACCAAGTGTACTGTTAAATCGCACTCTTCTTGACTTATCCCTATTCAGTCTTTTTCTGCAAAACCAAAAAATATACATCATCATCATCCTCATAATCTGGCAGTGTGCATGTAAATCTCATGTTATTAAGAACTGATTGATGGAGCTTTTGACACAATTAATTTAAATCTCATATATAAGTAATGGCTTAATTCACTTTTAGCATTTACGACTTAGTTCAAACATTTATTAAATCACATTTGTTAAGTCTAAGAGATAGCGTTATATTATTTACTTTGATGTCAAAATGTTTCTGATAATTTTAATTTGTTTAATCATTGTAATTATTTCATCTACATAATTACTGACAGCATTTAAAAGCACATAAAAGAGCTTTTGAAATTGTTTATGAAAGAATGCTTGCATAGAATATTTTGTTTATTTCCACACACATTTTTTTTTGTGTTAAGATTATTTTTTATTGAACTATGTTACATTCCACGCTGAAAACACTTTTTTTTTAAACTCAGTGCTTTACTTTTGTGCGTTTACAATGTCCGTTTACAGATATATTGCCTCTTATGATAAACAGATTCCCTGCTAATTGAAATGTGACATGTGTAGATGAACATAAGCATAAAGTGATGAATACAATTTCCATTTCATCTGCTTGTGTGTGAGATGAATAGAGTGATTGAATGATGTTATGTGCTTCGAGTTAAAGTGATAATTCATGAAGTTGACAAAGAATAAGGCAGATTGTTCAGGGAGGGCATGAAAATGACAGTAAAGTGGGTAATTTAGTTATTTGCATGGCCGTCAAGCAGCTGCAAGCGGCAATAGCTACACCTCAGCCGATAGTTTTAACACTCTATTTCTAACGGCTCACACCAGACTAGTGTAAAGTTCAGGATTTTAAGTGATACATCACTAATTTTCTGTTAAGTGATTGTTTTATGTTGTTCTTCAGGTTCATAAAGACTACATACCTGACTTTTGGAGGTCTTTCGAATGTTATTTTGATAAATGTGTGGATTGCATGGCAGGCTGGTGTTGAGCCCTCTGTGGGTATTTTTCTGGGTAAAGAAGGTCAGGAATGTGTTTGTTTTGGAAAACGATGTTGAGACTAACCTGATGCCAGGTGTACATTCAGGCATGTAGCTTTTTGATGCATATTTTAGGAACATTTGCTGATTGAAACTTTATTTGAACAACCAAGTGCAAATATATGTTGGAGTGTACTGTGCGAAAAAAGCATTTAGTGTGTGTGTGTGTGTGTGTGTGTGTGTGTGTGTGTGTGTTCTCGTTCAAATTCAGATGAGCCTCAGTCAAGTGATTTAGTGGTAAATGTAAGTTTTTCAACACCACGGGTGGTTTTAACACAAAGCACTCTGCTTCTTGTGAAGCACTGTCCCTTAGACCCTCACGTGGCATTTCCACCATTAAACTCTTGTATCGCTCCAAAAAATAATGTTAGTTTTTACACAAGTGCATTTTTAACCAAAGCATGGTGAAGAGCAATCTCTTAACAGATCAGGATAGTTTTTGTCAGATGTACTTTTGGCTAACTCTTCTCTCCAAAACATGTCTGTGTGAAATATGTCATGCCTACGTTCTCCCTTTCATATTTCAGCTGACCTTACGTGAAAGGTCAGGCTGGAATTTTTACGCTCGTTTGCGCCTTTGAACGCATCAGCTCCGCCGTTGACCAGCGGCAACCACCAGCCGTAGATTAAACATGTGGTTTTAATTGGAGATGTTATTTGGTGGAACAGCGCGGCTGAGCATTTTTCAGTGTATGTGAATAATAAATTACGCACGTTTTTAGACTGTGAGGGCTGCTTTTATTACTACTCAGAGAGTGGTGTCATTTTCTCCCCAAACTCTGAGCCCTAAAAGGGGAAAAAAAGGAGCTAACTACACCAAACAACTGACACTGAAGCCATTTCAACCAACTGCAAATTAAAAACTGCAAATAAAAAAAGAGACCAGACTGACGGATGTTTTCCAGATGACAGTGTTGATCTGATTAGCTATCGAAATGGTCTGGCGTTAACTGTTTCAACTTTGAGACAGACCAGACTGCTGTGCGGAAGTGCCGTCTAGGCTATCCGTCAGCTGAAGATGCTGCTGGATGCTGTTTTCTTATGGTCTATTTGTTCCAAATGTGAATTTAATTCTCCACTTGAACTCTTAAGCACAGCTTCTCTTCCCCGTGACCTCAGTGGCACTTTTTTTTTTCACTTTCTTGGTTTTCGCGCACAAGGTTTCCTGTGTGGAGAGGCTTCACGCCGGGATTCGGGAGAGTGCCAGGCTGTTATGAGGTGATGACTGTCTTAAAGAATGACCCTAGCATTTGCTTGGAGAGAGGAAGGGCCCATTTCCGATGAGCTGGGGAAATGTGGTAGAGGGAAAAGCAGGGTGTTCACTGGACGGAAATGACAGTACTTGAGTCTGAGGCGTTGATCATTACTTCGCTATATCCATTAGCAGAGCACCTCAGGAGAGATTACTGGCAGCTTGAAGCTGCAGGCACGGGTGGAAAGTGAACTACAGTATGGTCAATCACACTTTTAGAAAGAGTTATGCCTTTTTTTTGGCCAAACAAATTCAGGTACCTGTTGTTTTGATAAAGAACACATGTATTGATAAGTGAAACCTAGATAGCGAGTCAGGATGCATCTTGAAGTAGCTCCCTGTGGCCACCGAAGCTGCTTCTGCTAACTTCGCGTTCCAGCTGACAGCTGTATTTGTGTTATGGATTTTCTCTCAGTCCGCTGTCTCCCCCCTCGAGCCTTCACCCCCTCCTGAAGGGTCTTTATAATGCGACTCGCTGTATATTTTAAAAACCCTAGCATAACGTTGACAAGCCATCATGTCCGTCAGAGAACATCAGTAAAGCTCTTTGGGAAAGATGGGAGCAAACTTTCGGCACTGTCACAAAAGATGTGACTTGATGATGGACTGACAGCTGCGGCTTGTTTGAATGCGTCTCAGTAAAGTTTTCCAGCACTTCTATCGCTGAAACAATCCCGCTTATGACGCCAATGCTAAGCTCTCAAAACAGCGATAGCGATTACTGAAAACTTCTGCCTTAACAGGAGAGGAGAAAAGCTCTGATGTTTTATTCTTCTGCTCGTTGCCCGGCTTTGTTTGGCGGCAATGGCGGGAGGAATTCCTGTCAGTGTTGCCGGCCGTGGTAAACCTTAGTCCGGGTTTAAAACTCTAATCCACCCCCAGCTGCCGAAGGTGCGAGCGGTTTGTTCCTGAGGGAGATTCTGGCTCCGCACTGTACGCTTGGATAAATCCCCCTCCCCACTGTGTGACCATATAAGTAATAACCATATAAATGCATCTAATTTTCATTCGCTAATCCGTAAAGTAGCAGCGGAATGGAGAAGTGTTGGTTTCTTTTATGGTATTAGTAATGGGTAACAAGGGGATGCCTACTTAAGTTATTTGCATTTGAAACAGACGAACGTGATACATCTTTTGACAGAATTATCTTTTAACCACGTGTAAAACAAAATCAGATTCATCCTTCCGTTTTTTTTATTGATTGCATGCGCCTCGCTTCTACCTTGGATTTCCTATGCA